TGAAGAACTTAACTAACCAAAACAACCACTGAATTATTAAGAGCAGCCTTGAACAACGAATAGGCACCTGAAGAAGAAGAATCCACGTGTCATTATGATAAAAGATTTTCTTCTGTTTATTTCAATATACTGATTTTACTTCTCTAGTATTTTTGTCGTCGGCAAACAGCAAACGCTAAGAACAGATCGTCTCGTTTTTCAAACACGTTTAAAGTTGCATCAACCGTGAGACGTCCCGTATCCAAGATCTCGCGGGGCAGGTGTTTCAATTGCCTCGAGACACTTTCTTTGTCCGAAACGATTAAACCAAGTAGGGAGCAGTGCCGCAGATTTCGTAACCCGCGAGTTGGCATCGCTGGAGCGGAAACGGCGGTTTCGGGGTACGACTTCCTGGCCACGAGCCGACCAAGTTCTTCTTCGTCATTCTTATTCGCCCTCGTGGCCATTGAGCGGCGCGCGTTGAACGGTGTTTCCTGTGCGCGCATTTTTTTTGTCCTCAGGCGGGGGCCATCCGCGTTATTCGTATCGCGTATTGAATAAAAAAAAAGACAATGGGAGACGTATCCGGCATTCCGGGCGGCTTATCCCCTCGATCGCGCGCGGCGTGTGCTGAAACCCAATCATCTTCTTCCCGTTCTCGCGTATTACGCCACCCGTTTCCGTCCCCTATATATACAGGATCGCTCACTATTGCGGGATTCTGTTATATCTCCAAAATAGGTTACTTGATATGAATGTGAATGTGCATTGAATGAAAATACTTGTTAATTTTTTTCAAAGAAACTTCCACAGGCTACTGTAATACTTTTTATAAAACTTCTGGATTCTTCCTGCGTCGGTTTTTGTTGAGTCGACCTTGCTGACGTTTCGCCAATCATCCTGTTGCCTTCTTCAGAGTTTGACTGAAACTGGATCTCATTTTACTCTGTACCTGCTTTTATATTGTTTGGTCGAAGATGTTGAGAGATTTTGGACAGGTGGTAAATCTTTGAGGTCAGTGATGTTTTGAATGTAAGGAATGTCTGAATGTAAGTGTGGGATTGCTTTCGGTTTTATTGCTATTAGAAGGTTGTGGTGAAGTGTATTTTGGGATGGAACGCTTAATATCTTTAATGTGGAAATTATTAGAGAGACGAGCAGAGGTAAGGTGTTTTCATTCTGGGTTCAGTAAGAGCAAGAGAGTAAGCAAGAGAGTTGATAACCGATGATTTTTAGGCCGGATGGTGATGTGACAATGCATTAAGATATCGGTCTGTGTGCGTAGGTTTTTTGTAAACATAATGACCCAGGTCTGATTTTCTAATGACAAAATGTTATGTTGTGTTATGTTAGGGTGTATAGAGTTTAAATGTCTAAGAAAATCTACAAGAGATTCCTGACCATGAGGCCAAATAACAATGGTATCATCGACGTAGCGTTTCAATAATTTTGGTTTTAGATGGAAGGTGTCGAGAGCTTTCTTTTCAAAGGTTTCCATAAATATATTCGCGATGACTGGTGATAATGGAGAACCCATAGCTGTTCCCGACGTTTGTTCAAAAATTTGACCCTTATAAGAAAAATACGTTTGGTTCCAGATTCTCAGATTTAATTCTGAAATGATGGTGAGAGTTTCACGAATAGGAACTTTAGTAAAGGGTTCTTCTCTATCAGACTCCGTAAAAAAATCTGCCACCCCTCATGACTCTAAAATTCCTCATCTCTACGGGCTCCCAAAGATTCACAAACCAGGATTACCCCAGTCGGCCTATTGTTAGCACCATTGGTTCTCCAATATATTCTCTAGCGAAACATCTAGCTACCTTATTAAAATCCTTTACAGGGAAAACTGACAGTTTCGTACTTAATTCCTTTCACTTCACTGAACCAATAAAAAGCATTACATTAGATATACAAGATATTCTGGTTGGTCTCGACGTAGAATGCCTCTTTACTAAAGTTCCTATTCCTGAAACTCTCACCATCATTTCAGATATATTAAAATCCGAGAATCTGGAACCAAATTAAAAAATGCTTGTCTGGAACATATTTTTCTTATAACGGTCAAATTTTTGAACAAACGTCGGGAACAGCTATAGATTCTCCACCATCACCAGTCATAGTTAATGTATTTATGGAAGGAAGCCTTTGAGAAGAAAGTTCTAGACACCTTCCATCTAAAACCAAAATTATGAAAACGTTAAGTCCATGATACTTTTGTTATTTGGCCTCATGGTCAGGAATCCCTAGTAAATTTTCTTGGACATTTAAACTACATCGTAACATACGTTTTACCATTGAAATAGAAACTAACAACAACCTCACATTCTTAGATATTCTCTTATCAATAGAAACTCAGACCTAACATTGGGTCATTGTGTTTACAGAAAACCTACGCACACAGACCGAAATCTTAATGCATTGTCACATCACTATCCGGCCCAAAAATCATCAGTTTTAAACTCTCTTGTTTACAGAGCCTTAAAACTATCTCAGCCCGACTCATTGAACCCAGAATGAAAACACCTTACCTCTGCTCTTCTCTCTAATAATATTCAAATTGAAGATATTAAGCGTTCCATCACAAAATACACTTCACCTTCCAATAGCAATGAAGCCGAAAGCAATCCCATACTTGCCACTGTTGTCCTTCCTTACATTCAAAATATCACTGACCACATATCAAAAGTTCTAAAGAAGTATAACGTTAAAACCAGATTTACCACTTGCCACAGAAATATAACATCAAAATCAGACTTACTACTTGTCCAAAAATCTCTCAACATCTTCGATCCGTCAAAGACAAAATTCCATTTGAGATGCCAGGAGTTTACAGCATTCCATGCGTATGCGGCAAATGGAGAGACCGCAACTAGGCTCAAAGAACATTAAAGAGCCTTAAGACTAAGACAAATAAACGCAAATTACCAAACACAATCACGAAACCGGACATAAAATTTTATTCGATAACACTAAAATTCTTTCATGTAATCAATTCTTCTACCAACGAAAAATGCCAGAGTCTATAGAAATCTATAAGCAACCTAACAATCTTAACCGCGACTCAGATCTTTACCTGTCGCCAATATGGGAATCAGTCATCCGAGACTGTGTTTATGCCCCGCTCCTCATACAATATAAAAGCAGGTAGAGACTAAATTCCAAGCCAGTTTCAGTCAAGCTCTGAAGAAGTCGAGTCAACAAAAACCGACGCAGGAGAAATCCAGAAGTTTTATAAAAAGTAAAAAGAAAGTACTTGTCATTGAATAAATATCTCACAGCACCTAAATTTCTTATCTTAAATGGAACCCCCGGTATAAAATTTGGATTTCTGGAAAATTTTCATGGTTAGGTTCCTTAAGATTTTCCTGTACTTAATCCAAATAATTTCTTAGATATCTTGATTAATTTAAAAATTTTGAGAGATAAGAATATCGTCCTTTCGCTCACAGGGTGTCCAAATATCATTTTTTCGAATGTTATTGCATGGTGCCATGCAAAATTTAATTCTAGATAGATTATTGATTATGTCGTTATGTACAATCAGTTTCTAGTTACGCTCTTTTCAAAGTTTTTTTTTCGTTTTGCATAAATAATAATGCAAAATAATACTGCATTCATTAGATATGTTTTTTCTTATAAGTATTACACGGTTTACTTTTTATCATTTATTTTCTCTTTTAATTCGATGTTTGGCAGACACCGAGATAATTTTGTACGGATTAATTAGCACATGAAATCAAAACAGGAAACTTTAACTTCAAAGAAAGGGATAAAAACTTGGAACGCGAGAAACAAGAAATACAAGCACTTAAACTCTAGTATTATTCACAATTAACACAATTCAATAATGCATCTCTCTTTTGTAAGGGCCATAAGCAGTACCTAGACTAGTTCTTTTATACGGTGAGTGGAAAATCCAAGGACTACAAGCAGGGACAACTACAAGGTCAGTTCCAGAGTTCCTTAACTATTCTGAAGTAAATAAAACCAAGAAAACAACAAAATTAGAGATTTCTCATCAGTCAAAACCTTTTTAAAAAACAAACAAATCACCGAATTTATAAAAGTAAATTTTCCAAAATGTTGCCTTTTTTCGTTTAACGATTTCGTAAACAATTGAAAAAGTTCTTTTTTCCCACTTTCAATGAGGCAAACACAATTTTTGATAATATTTCTCTAAACCTTACAAAAGTACTTAAATAAACACCCCGTAGATATATAACTGGTCTCGTAGAATAAGTTTAATAACAAAATATGGCAAACAATATTTTAAGAAAAACATTTTCGCGAAACTTGTGGTTCCAACGCGTACACATAGGTTGTTTCCTCGCCATTTTCGACGATTTATATTCAATTGCGGCTTTGTTTGTTTTCTACCACCTGCCGTCGCCGGTAGGTATCCCTGAGGGTTCTTAATTTTGATTGTGTGCGTGTGTGTGTGTGTGTCTGCGTTTGCTCTATAAGCACCGGCACGTGGTCCGCCATATGTTTTCCCTCGCGAGCATTTGGCAAACAAAACAAACCGCTCTGTAGACGGGGGTTCGGCGCGCCCGGAAGTTTGTTCCTTTCGGGGTTGGATTCCGCCAGTTGGCGACCCCGTTTGTGTAAATATTTTCCGTCGCTTGTCGGTTTAACGTAATTAGCAGCAAACACTGCGACTGCGCTACTTCAATTACGCCATTTTCACCCACATTTCGACCCTGTTTATTGTCTTATTTCAACGAAAGAAAAAATTAAGTTTACATGCCCTTGAAAAAATGCGATGACAGTTTGCGTTCGACAATTCTTTTTCTTCTCTCCGTGTTCTGTGCCTTATAATTAATAAATAATGTCGCATAAACATAATATCAAACTACCCGCGACTATGCGGACGTAAAACGCATGAATCGACGCGATATTTAAAGACAGGTGGCGCGCACGTGCGTCGACGACAGGTGGAAACCGTGAAGTTACGATTTTATTACATCCCAACGCAAGGTGCGTCCTTATCGATAGCAAATTATTCTCGTAAAACTCACCACGTTGACGAAGTCTTGAAACGTTATTGCTGGGGTGGTCGCCACCCGCGCTTTCTCCATCAAAATTTGCCGTTTGCCTGTGTTCACTCGCTCCCGGAACTCCGGATGATCCAGCGCGCTCAAGAAGTCTGGCCATGGAATCTCCCCGAAACCTTCCGGATCAAACTGGAACGACATGTTTGGCCCACGATCGAGTTTTTCTATTCGTTCACTCACCCTATCGAAAAACTGCCTCCATTGCTGAAAATACGACAAAAGTTACACTGGCGCTTATACTTTTACGTCAAAAACCGCATGGCGTCACGGAACAGTAAACGTCCTAGTTCGAGTGAAAATTCAATACGCAAGCTTTGCAAAGGCACCTACGAGATTGGGTTTCTAATCAAAACGCAAGTCAAGCTTGAGTACAGTTTTTCATTTTATCACGTTTCCGACACCTACATCTCGCAATAGGTCCCTCCTGATTTCAGCGTCGTCACCTTCGCTCCCCAATTCTGTGTGGTCAGTGTCGTAGTGATCCAGGGGTTCGTTGCCCGCAAAAGAAACGAACGAGCCGGTTATGGTGGCTATGTGGCCCGGTTCGATGCCAGATTCCTCGGACTGCGCATGCGCCAACGCGGTGCTATAAAATTGGGCGGCAGATGGCGACAGGCGGTGCGGCCAGGCGCGATGTGATAGCATCGCATGCGGACGGCTAGAAATTCAACAGCACGGATTTCAATATTCGCGCGAAAACACTAATGACCGCTTAAAACTACAGGTTCCGTTCGGTACATAAGATTATTGTCGTACACTTCATAAATAAATGTTGGATTTGCGCCACCTCGCGGTCGGGGGTGAAACTAGACCCGTTGTTAAGGGTTTTAAGCACGGTTTACACCTAAAATTTAATGTCGTGGTACTACAAAAGTAAGGTCAAATCTATGTAGGTACCCTCTAACTATTTTTCTATGCGCTGTAGGCTTGAGATACACGTAACGTCAAAATAATGTTTAGGAATTTGTATTTATGTCTATTTCCTTTATTGTTTTATGAGTCACATTTTTATTAGAACCTTGTATATTTTACATGAACTGTTTTTTTTTAATACATCAATTTTGTTACTTTATTAGCAGCTGCCGAGAATAATTTAATTTAGCACAAACTACCTACCTGTTTCTAAGTACTTCGTAGAAGGATTGAAAATTTTACAAAACCAATTGCTACAACATCGTGATGAAAACTTCCTTTATCTCGCAATGTGACCAACAGAGTCGGATAAAACAAACCGAAAATCGAAAACATTCGCGTTCGAAAATTAAACCACGGGCTAGACAATAACAAAACAGGTCAATCACGTCTGTGTCGACATAGTTTCACTTTCCTTTCCGGACACTGATTTTCAGCGCATGATTCTGCGCGAAAAACATACGATATAAACACGAGGTCGCCCTCCCGAAGGGGATGCAGGCATTTCTCACTGAGGAAAATTTAAAAATCCATAATTTCTATCGATTTTCATTGTTTTAAAAATTGCGCGTTCACTTCCACGATGGTATGCAACCGTACGATCTCTGCGGCGTATTGGTGGTTGCCAAAACATGGGAAAAGTTTGTAAATAGAATGTTAAATATGCCTTATTAATTAAATTGTTTTAATAAATTGGTGCAGAATGTATGTGGATTATGGTATTAATTAAATACAAATGGTTTTTAATAGGAAAGGATAAATTTTTGTATTCTGTGCCATCAAATTGGCGACACTGAGTGAAGTGGAGGGGATTGAAGTTTACCTTCGTTAGTGCATGCTGCGAAATATTCTTTTTATAAAGATCCACTTTGTTGAATGGGTGTTTGAGGTGAGTAATGTTACAAAATTTTAAATTGTTAAAAATTTTGGAAAATATTATTTGAATATTCCTGGTCATTAAATATTTGAGGATTTGTTAAAAAAAAAAAGGCATAAAGAAATGGGATGGGCGAGATATTTACGGATTTTTGATTGTATAAAGCCTTGTACTCTGGGCAAGGAGTTTTTGTGAAACGTTTCATAAAACTCTTAATCGTTCAAGGCAATATGAATACCATGTTTAATCCCAGATGGCACCAATCGTTTGCCTTTCTGATTCATGGCAAGGTTACATCATTAAATTTCGAGGTTAGCAATGGCGTGTTTAACATTTTTAATTTTCGTTATAGGTTAATTTATCGTCATGGTGAACGGCAGGATACCGTCAGTATGTTCTAAAACATACATAACGCCAAGGCGGCCTTATGAAAAGGCGCGTTTGGACCAAGAATTAAAAATTATTGGCGCCTTCGGGCTTCGTAACAAACGTGAAGTGTGGAGAGTAAAACTAACCCTGGCCAAAATCCGTAAAGCTGCCCGTGAGCTGCTTACTTTGGAAGAAAAAGACCCCAAGAGGTTGTTCGAAGGTATTTTTCATATTTTAGTTACTGTTGTGCGTGCACCCCTTCGCCACGCTCCAGTGAGTTATTATGCTTATTAGGAGTGCCAAATTTATTTGAATACGGGGAAGATTATGTCCAGCTAGGAAACAGACTACAGCCAATTTCATGACTTTGTCTGTGCCGAAAGTTTGGATACATTTAATTTTATAATGCACATTTGTTTATAGATTTCTTCTTTTGCTTTAAAAGTTTACTTTTTCAGGCAATGCGTTGTTGCGTCGGTTGGTGCGAATAGGTGTGCTAGATGAAAACAGAATGAAGCTCGATTATGTCTTGGGTTTGAAAATTGAGGATTTCTTAGAGAGACGGCTGCAGACTCAAGTGTTCAAACTGGGACTGGCGAAATCGATCCATCACGCTCGAGTGCTGATTAGGCAAAGACATATCCGGTAATGATTTGGTGATTTGGTTGTAATCATACAGGCCACTTAGTTGAACAACTAATGCCTAGAAATTTTTGCCTCGTTTGGTGTCCGATTGAGACAGGTAAAAATTGAGTAGTGAAAATGTGTGTACCGAGTCTAGAGTCACTAGTTAAGTTACGTAATGCTTAAAATAGTGCTAAAGATACTCGCAGAGGAATGATACCAACTTATGCCCCATCTGAGTTAATTGTAATTCAGATGGGTACCTTGTGAGGCGACACTGGAATTTTAACCCTAGTCACTTTTGAAGTAAACTAATTGGTTAATTTTTCTGGCAGGGTTCGGAAGCAAGTGGTTAATATTCCATCGTTCATTGTACGATTGGACTCGCAAAAGCACATTGACTTCTCCCTGAAGTCGCCATTTGGTGGTGGTAGGGCTGGACGTGTCAAGAGGAAGAACCTTCGCAAGGGAGCCAGTGGTGGCGGCGGCGAAGAAGAGGAAGATTAATTTATTATTAATCTTGTTAATAAATTCTAAAAATTAAATCATTTGGTTTATTCATTTAAATAAAACTTAATCTTGTTAATACGAACACGTGATTGGATCTTATTCTGCGCTTAAAATTTTGATTCATTTCGCAACTTCATTTAAAGCAGTGAATTTTTTCCCACAAAAGTAAATACGCGATTTAACAATATCTGATGTTTCTTCCGGTTTAATCGTGGATTTTTTGAAATATTGCATATTCTGCAAGCGATTTATAACCTATAAGGGCGTACTCGCGGAAACGACGATTGTATAAGGACTGACAATTTTATCAATACATCTGAACATTTTCCTACCAAAATTTAATTGTATAAACTTAAGCAATTCAGTTGAATGCAATTAAAAGTAACAAACCTGGTCCAGGTTTCAATAACAGGCCGATCATATTTACAAAATCAAAAGCTTGCGTTTTATCTGTATATTACGACTTCCAAATTAGAACTTTTTGAGTTATAATCAACAAACATTGTAGTCTGGTCATTACTTCCTTACAATTTACTTATCGAAACCACTAGACGCCGTGCGTCAATGCAAATCTAAAATTTCCCAACACGGGGCACGTCTTCAAACTTATTTAGTTTTCTACATGATTATCGCGTTTTGTTTGTGTACGTTTGTCCTACCCAAAGTGGAATGTAATTTATCTTGTTGCATAAAAATGTAAATACACCGCAATTAAACAAAGTGATAGTTTTGTCTGTTTTCAACTCGCTTCGATCGGCGCAAGGTCTTATCGTCGCGTGGAAGGATTAAAAAAGTGGGAAAATATTTTCGAACGGGGTTGCCTACGCGACGAAAACAACGCAGTTGAATCGATACGATCTTACGACCGAGAGCGTTCTCGATTATTCGCGTGCCTACTGTTTACAAAAAAAATCGCATGTGCGGTATTGTACGTATGACTTTCTCTGGTAGTTCGAAACAAAAATAAATTCGGCAGCGTTACGTAAAAAAGGCGAAAAACATCGTAGGATGAGCTTTGACGCCGTTTATATAACACTTTTGACATGATTTTCCGGGCGGTTCTGAACTTTTCGTCGCTAAGCGGTGCAATTAGAAGATTCGCGTCTTGCACTAAGTGCCCTGTATCGGCCAGTTCGCATTTTGCTGGTGTTTTGCGTCACGAGGTTGAAAGCCGTGGCCCGATATACAGGTAATTTTATTTATTTTAAGTTATATAGAAATTATTTTGTTGCGTCTCTTGTTGCTTCTTACTCATTTGTTTTGTTTACGTTTCGAATGTCACGTCGTCCATAACCTTGTTACGTGCGTCTGTGGGGATAAAGCCGTGTAGGAGTGTAAACAAGTTTTTAATTTTTATAGGCCGCTGCGTTTTGTGAACTTTCGAAATCAGTGCCTCAATATGTCGGGGGCGGGCACTTCGACGGATTCGGGGGGTAAAAAAGTCAATCGCCTGGCCAGCGAGAGGAGCCCCTATCTTTTGCAACACGCTACCAATCCCGTCGATTGGTACCCTTGGGGCGACGAGGCTTTCGAGAAAGCGAAAGCCGAAGACAAGCCCATTTTTTTGTCGGTGGGTTACTCCACCTGCCACTGGTAAAACAGAAACCCGTGCTTTCCTTAAACTGGGGGCGATCGGTACCTTCTCCTTTTAGGTGCCACGTAATGGAGAAGGAGTCTTTTGAGAACGAATCGGTGGCGAAAATTATGAACGAGCATTTTGTTAATATTAAGGTCGATCGGGAGGAGAGGCCGGATGTGGACAAAATGTACATGTCTTTCATCCAGGCCACAGTGGGCGGCGGCGGTTGGCCCATGTCTGTGTTTCTCACTCCCGATTTGGAGCCCCTGGCCGGCGGCACTTATTTTCCCCCCGAGGACTCCAAATACGGACAACCTGGCTTTAAAACTGTTCTGACCAACATAGCCGAACAGTGGAAGACCAACAAGGCGACCATACTGAAATCCGGTGAGTAAAAGTGGTATTTTAATGTTGCCTGGATTGATTTCCAATTTTTAAATTTTTTTTATTTATTTTTTTTATGTGTTTTGAAAACATTTTTATTTTTTATTCTCCAAACTTTTGTGTATATGTATTTTTTAAATTTAAATTACAATTTCTTTTAACTGCCTTTAAAGAGCTGTAGAAAGAAACTAAAGAAATGTAGACCCAGATTGTTTGATATCCCTGATATTTTTCATCTAAAATCTGACAGTAATGTGACATTTTCTAAATTTGCTAATTAAATGTATGCAGTGGAGTTGGTAGTTTTCAAAAGTCATTTGAAAATGTTTCGTCCCGCGCTTGCAACCGCATTAGTACCCATTGATGGGTGATTAATATATTCCGCCAAGGAGTTTTTTTTTGTATTGTTTATTCGTACTTGAAACAGTTTTGGTTCGGTGAACCGTTATTTGCGATAATACGTACGCAAGGTGAGCGATTCGGCTGGCCTCAATGTAAAAAAAAACCCGCAGAACTGCTATGCTAAATACCAGCATGGTGGACATGCAAAACTTAGGCAATCGGTAATCTTCATACAGAAACACGTTTCACAATCGCGATCAAAAGTTGGGGGATATTAAGGATCGATTTTAGGATGATGGGAAGAAAAGTTTTCATCAGAAAGATAGTACCATTAAACATGATAAATTAATATGCAGGATTATGAATATATTTGTAAATTAAAGTTTTGTAAAATATTTGAATATGTAGCTTTTTTTTTGAATTGGAGACATTCATTATGGACCATATGTCACTATAACCTCGTTGGAGATCAGAGAAAAATAACATTATTATAGAAAATTTGTCACCAAAACAAGCAAAAAAGAAAATTGAATTTCAGGGAAGCACTGCGTCGAGATCCTGCGCAGAATATCCGAATCGGAGCGTCGCGACGCCTCCTCCGTCGCCGACGTTCCCGGCGAGGATTGCTGGAAAAAGTGCGCCCTTCAGCTGTCCCGCTCGTACGAAGCGGACTACGGCGGTTTCTCGATGGCCCCCAAGTTCCCCCAACCGTCCAACTTCAACTTCCTCTTCCACATGTACTGGAAGGAGAAGAATACGGAACGCGGCTTTCAGTGTCTCGAGATGTGCCTGCACACACTCAAGAGGATGGCGTACGGCGGTATTCACGACCACGTGGGCAAAGGTTTCGCCCGGTACTCCGTGGACGAGCGCTGGCACGTGCCGCACTTTGAGAAGATGCTTTACGATCAGGTAAGTCGGGAACAAGTCTGCAAAACCTGGAAAAGGCAGGAAACAGCCCCTAAGTTATTCAAAGCACAGAGAATCTGATTTCCCAACCTGGGATTTTCTCGATTTTTCCTTATTTATATTTTGGTTTGAAAAAATATTTTCGTTTTGTTTAACAGTTTTTGTCAAAATTTCCACCCAAATCAAGTAATATTTGTTCATTGGGGTAGGATTTTTGAACGAGCAACGGAAGTTTAAAAGTAAAATATTGGTTAAAATTTGTTTGTTTCATATTATAAAATAAATGTTCTTAAAATAGTTTTTTATTTAGCTAGCTATTTAAGAACATTGGGGAACAGAACTCCTGCGTATATTTTTCACCTATGGTCTGCCAGTATCAAGATACAATTTTCTGTGACGCCTTTTTAATTTCTTACTGTGTGTGGTTTCTGGATTGTTCTGTTATTATTGCGTTTTTTCTTTACAAAGTTTGAAATTTCTTACTTTAAGACTTTTTTAGAATTGTATAGTAACTCATGACGAACCATATGGTCAGTAATAAATAAATGAAATTCTAAAAGCACTCAATCTATGTCATATCTGAACTAGTTCTCAACAGTTTAAATTATCACTTTGGACCCTGTTGGTTTCCAAAAAAATTCTATACACAGCAGTTAAATAATTTAACAAAGTACTGAAAAATACTTTTAATTTAGATGTTTCTATACACTTTATTTATTTATTTAATTTAATTAATTTATTTATTTATTTAACATGCTGGGTTAACCAGCACAAACAGATTTCAAGGCCAAGGAGTTTTATTTACATACACTTAATTTTTGGTTGTGCCTAGGTTTCTAAGAACACTTTATACTACCCTCTTACCTTAATATATAAACTAACGTAAGGTAATGCAGTTCAGTCCCCGCCCAACAAAACAAAACAACAAAAGTTCAAAACAACGCACAAATAAGTTCCCTAGTTTAAAATATAAATTTACGAGTTCATTTTTAAATCGACCTATTTTATTCATCAGTTTTATTTTTACCTAGACATTTCATGCAAACCCTAGTAATTTAATATATGGTCTAAGTAAGATTACGAAACGTATTAAATAAAAGTTATAAAAAAATTAATTATATTTGATTTTAGTCTATACAAACGTTTAACTAAACAAAGATAACAGAAACGTGGCAAACGTAGCACAAGTATGGCTTAAAAACTATTACAACGGATTTTTTTATTTACTTTTGCAAGGTAAAGTTCAGTGAAATTTACTTAAATAAAGTATCTTTTTCTTAACCTCCAGGCACCACGTTGTTCAACAGCATTTGTTGCAAATACATTTGGCAAAATTGAACGTAGTGTTATTTTATTACCAGGAATATCTTTAATCTTCTTAAATATTTTCTTAAAAACTGTAAACCGCGACCTAGCATAGAGGAATTTAATAATTCCTTCTTTAGTACCGAGCTGATACAGCCAATCTTCTGTTTGATTAATGAAAATTGTTAAAACTTGTCAACTGCCGGTACTTAAATTCTGACCCTTGTGCCAACATATATTGGAGGTGTTTTTTCGTCACTATATCTAAACATACTTTTTTTGCTTGCTTTTTTAATTTTTGTCTTGCGCGCTTGCCAAGTTTATGCATTGCATTGCCTGTTATGAAATCGATAGTCAAAAAAGCTCTGGTAAATGTTTTTAATTTTATGATAAGGGATTTTAAACATAGCCGGCAAAAAACATACATTGGCAGTAAAATATCTACTTATAAATACTATTTAATATATATTTAATATATATTTAAAAGCTATGCAACAAAGGTATTTAAAAAATCCAGAAATTATACTTATTGAAAACAAAAATAAAATTACAAAACATATGTATTATATTTAAATACTAAAAATTGAACACATCTAATTTACTTTTTTCAAATTTGGTGAATAATTCAATAATAACTGAGTAATTCTAGTTAGTACTGATTGGTGTTTGGATTTCACGAATTTTAAAGTACGTTGTTCCGAATGTTGAGCTAATTTGACAAGTAGCCTTTTTTAATTCAGGATACGTCCGGTAGTAATTTCCAAAATTCTAATTCTCCAAATATTCGTTCTAGCTTTTTTTATTTGGGTTTTTCTTGTTTAATACTGGAATGAAAAGGGAACTCGGGTACATTTATGGAGAGCCACAAATAATACTTCAAATATCCTGGCATTTTCGCCAACAATCTAATTGCTTTCTTCTTTACACCTAAGGCGCAATTGGCCGTTTCCTATTGTGACGCGTACGTCGTCACCAAGGACGAGTTCTACGCCGAGGTTGCCCGCGACATCTTGACGTACGTGTCGCGCGACCTCAGCCACCAGATGGGCGGGTTCTACGGCGCCCAAGACGCCGACTCTTACCCCGAAGCGGGGGCGCCTCGCAAACGGGAGGGTGCTTTCTGCGTGTGGGAGAACGACGAGATTGTTCGGCTGCTCGGCGATAAGGAGACGAGCGGCCTGAAACATTCCGACGTCGTCGCCCACCATTACGGCGTCAAGCCCGACGGTAACGTGAAACGGTCTCAAGATCCGCACGGAGAATTACGCTCCAAAAACGTACTCGCCTGTTTCGGCTCGTACGAGTCGACGGCCAGCAACTTCAACATCACCGTCGACGCCGTCAAAACGATATTGGATGAGGCGCACGCGACGTTGTACGAAGAACGAAGACGCCGACCCGCCCCCGACACCGACACCAAAATCGTCACCTCCTGGAACGGCCTGATGGTATCCGGTTTCGCCAAGGCCGGGTTCGTGTTGAAAAATCAATCGTACATAGATCGGGCGATCCGGGCGGCCGACTTCGTTCGCCGTTTTCTATACGACGAGGAACGCGGGACGTTGCTACGATGCTGCTACGGCGACGGCGCCGGCGTCGCACAGACGTAAGAGTTTTTTTTTGTTTCATATTGGTGCAGGTTACGTTTTCATCACCTAGAATTGATGAATTGTTCTCGAAACGTTTCCTTTTCTTATAAAGGTAACGGACATCCATAAAACTTTGACTCCATATTTATTTGGAACTCAGGGGTTGCTGTTACCTTTATAAAAGTTTTGTAATGACAAGCATTATTATTTTCGTTACCGCTACCTTTTCCAATATTATTTCTTTACAATATATTTTACTTTGCCATTTTTATGAAAATATTTTAATTAATATTCTAACAACTCAAAAATTTGCTACGACTACTTAATCCTATTTTTAATTTATATTTTACCCGTTCTAAAACGGAATCGTCTTCGTTTTTACAGCAATATCGCTGCGATTGCTTATAATTTTATAAGTTACCAAATAGGTATTTAGAAAAACCTGGGTAACCGGTAAAAAACCAAAAGTAACTAAAGGTGTGTTCACTTGGTGCACTTCGAGACGCTGCGTATACACTATTTTCGTTCTGTGATTGCCGTCGATTATATGGAGTGCTGTGAATGGGGTTCACTCCAAAGGTTCTACATCATAAGCATACATGCGCAAAATTGTGAAACTGTCGAATTTGCTTATTGCTTGTTGGTATGTTATATAAGGCACCAACCAAATTTTTGGTGAGCAAATTCATTTAGAAATTAAATTTATTTATTAATATAATATACTTTTAAGAAGCTCGTCATGGACAATTTTCAATTTTTTCAATTACATTGACTTCTTCATTATCATATATTATCATTATTATATATTGTTTTTACGATATTTTTTTTCCAAAACTAAACAGACGCACAAATATTAAATTATTATTCATTAGTGATAATAGTATATTATGCAACATAAACTCGTGAGTTAAAAAGTTTACCGAACGTGTTGCATACTATACTTTTTCTACGACCGTTAGTTTTTGGGTACATTTTCGCAAAATACATTCACTGACATGACCGTCAGAATTGACAAACGTCAAAATTCAAATCGTGGGAAATATCTCCGACAACATCCGATTGCTCCCAAATCCGTGCGGTAAAATCCCGGAAATGTCCGAAGTGGCTCGGATTCATGGGAAAGCAAACTGACGTGGTAAAGTGACGCTTCCCGCACTCTAGGTCGGTGGGCAAGTAGGTGTTTTACAGAATGGAGTAGAAAAAAATAATAATAAACCAAAGCAGCTGTTTCACATTTATATTTGAAGTTCTGCTCCAAAAGTCCAGGTGCTTCCAGGAACTCACCTTAAATTGCAAACTACGTTATGATTGCAAAATGCCAATTTTGCAATCATAACTTCACCTTTCAGTTGTTTAATTATTGGTAAACGTGCCTTATAAAATTGTTCAAAGAATTTGGGAAAACTGTAGCTCAGGTCCTTCCAAAGATGTAGTAGGGTGTATATAATCATTATTATTAATTTAAATTGAAAAAATGGATTTAATTAACTTTGGTTTACATTTGATTAAGCAGGCTATTGTCTAAAATCGGCAAGTAATATTTTTTTATCGTATTAAAACTTCGGCGACTGAAAAACTCACCGAGACGATTTGTGTCCTTAGTTCCATGGTAGTCTTCTATATTTTGGTTTATTTTTTTCGAATTTTCCTTATCGCCGCAAAATATTGCGAGTTTCATCACATTATTTAATAAAGTTGTTACCGTGTTTAATTTTTTGTCAAATTTTCTTAGCCTGTCGCACTATTAAGAAAGCAACTATTTAGCATAACCTCAAAACCATGGCGGCCTTCTTTTTACCCGAAAAAAAAAATACTACTGAGCTATAAGTTTTACATTCTTTACTTTTCACAGTACCTGTAGAATATGTATTAGATGTTTTATGATCATGTTTTTTAAGCTCTAGGAGTAAAAGTTTTTTGAGTATGTTTTTAAGAATGCTACAAAACCTTTTTAAAAAACAGGAAGTAGAAATTACCATTGGTTCATATGTAAAGTCACAGATACGTTTTGGTTGGAAAATCTTATAACACTATAAAAACTATCCTGAAAGCTAAGGTTTCTTATAAACCCCTCATAAATTTCGGTTGCAGGACGCACCCCGTCGACGGGTTCCTAGACGATTACGCGTTCCTGATCAGGGGTCTGCTCGACCTGTACGAAGCGTCTCTAGACGCTGACTGGCTGCAGTGGGCGGAGACGTTGCAGGAACGACAGGACGAGCTGTTCTGGGACGCGCAGCGCGACGGGTACTTTACGAGCCCCGAAGGAGACGCCAGCGTGCTTATACGCAGGAAGGACGGTACGCGTTGCAGTTTTCGTATTTCTTGCTTTATGACATCACTTGTTGCGGTGCCAACACGACACCGATGATCAATTAACAATAACGCTTTTAGTTACATGCTGGCGCCCTTTTGTCGAATGTAAATGCTATTTGGAGATCCCCGCGCATGCGCCATGTATCGCGGCGTTTTGAATGAGAAAATTATTCATCTCTTTTGACGGCTACGATAAATAAATCAAAAAAGTCTATAAATGAATAATGTAAAATAATGTCTAGATTTTTTAAATTTTAACTTTTACCGATTTTTCAAAATTTTTTTCGTTACTTCTGTGATCTTTTGTTTTTAAACAAAGCACAAGTTTCTTGTCAAACATTGGTATTCATTTTATTTTTCACCAAAAGATCCGCGGGTTGCGCTTGATTAGATGAAAACCGGTAAATAAATAAATCGCGTGGATAACCTTGCGCGATCTAAATGTGGAAGATAAATTCACCTCCATTTATTTCGTTTGCTAGGTCGAATGTCGGGTAAATATGTTTACTTCCTGCGGCAAAATCTATTATTAATCATAACTGCGCCTTAAAAAGTAAAAGTATTGAATTATTATGTAAATTTTTATAAGTTTTTTCTTTAAAAATTTACAAACGTAACGTTTTGCCTCGCAAAATGAGTTGCCAAAAGCGGCACTACCGAGATCAGAGATTTCTCAGAATTTGTTTTTGTCTATTTCCATAAACTGCAACATCATATATTTTCTTTGTCACTTGTTTTTTCTTTATTTAACTCATCATTAAAACGAAAAATGACTTATTTTAAAATTAGTTGCTCAATAAATATATTAATATAAAAAAATATATTAATAGATAAATTTTAAGAGAAGAAACGTCGCAACCCCTATGAACTCTTGCGTCAACTGGCGATCCACTAGCAAGTAAAAGTAATATTAAATATAAAATAAAGTAATAAAGTAATATAAAATATAAAATCACGAACCTAACTTTGTGCAACGTATTTCACATAATAAGGTAAATAATCAAATAGACTTCTTAAAAAAATACGTTCTTGATGCTTTCGAAAATCGAAAAAATCGAATTTTTCGAAAGTATCTACCCTCGTATAAAAATAAGTATTTAAAAAAAATTAAAAATCGCGTGTGCAACTGTCCACAAAAAGATAATTTTTCAAAAACCGTTTATAAAGTCGAAAAAATTCTTGAACAAAAAGCCGCAGAAGATTCGGCTCCATAAATTTTTGTTCTTGACAATTTTTCTAAAGAAAAATGGCTCCTCCTATTATTAAAAATTGGCTATAACTGAAAGACTATGATTACATTACGTTATAGATCGTGGAGACAGCTAAATCTTTTGTATTTAAGGTTTTAACTCATAGTACAGGGTATTCGTGGTAAAAATGATAAGATGACGTCATTGACTATTACGGCGGAGTGCATAGTTTGTGAAAGAAATTATTTTCTCGAAAACCATTTGCACTATTGCAAACATTCTTGGACCAGGAAATGTGGGTGATCTAGGGGTATAACTTCTATTAACGGCATTTTTCAATTATGTACAGGGTGTGTCGATTATGGGCAAAAAATGAAAACTGCCGTTTTCGTGGGTACATTGTTGGCCGTTAATGAAAAACTGCAAAAAAGGGATAGTTTGGTTTAAACAGTGACGTAAACTTATTGAAATTTAGTTTTTTAAAATTTGCTACTTATTGAATTTCAAAGTCATAGAATTCTGTTTTCTGCATATTAACTTTACGCTCCGAGGGTTTTGTTTATCTTCATATTGCATGTTGCCTTGTATCAGTCTAGACACTTTAAAAAACAATCACGATTGATACTTGTTTGTTGTACTTGGTGTTTCCAAATCAATCGAGTCAATCTTCCCCCTACAGTTGTTGAGTTTATACTGTGGTTTAAAGTAGTTTGTTGTCACTTGGTGCAGATCAGGACGGTGCCGAACCTTGCGGTAACTCGGTGGCGGTCCACAACTTGATCCGGCTGGCGAACTACCTTCATCGCGACGACATGCGCGAAAAAGCCGGAAAAACTCTGGCCTGTTTCTCGGAACGACTCAAAGCGATGCCACTCGCCTTGCCCGAGATGACGTCGGCGTTGATGCTTTACCACAACTCCGCCACTCAGGTGTTTATCGCCGGTCACACCGAAGATAACCATACTCAAGCTCTGCTGGACGTGGTCCGGGCCAGTTTTATACCAGGCCGGATTTTGGCGGTGGCCGATGGTCCCGGCGGACGAGCGGGGCTCCTGTACCAAAGGCTCGAGACGTTGTCGAGGCTGAGGCCCATCGGGGGCAAACCAGCGGCCTACGTGTGCAGGAACTTCACCTGCAGTCTGCCGGTTACCGAGCCGGACGAGTTGGCAACGTCGCTCGATAACGAGGAGGTGTGACGCGAGAATGTGCGCAGAACGCGTAAAAATACGCAACATTTGCCGTTAGTCGTTTAAATTAATGCGCGGTGAAACAAATAGGAAGTTATTCCCTAAAACTCCGAAAGTTTGGATTATTTTGACGCCAGTTCGTGTTATATATGTATGTTTTGTAATAGGTTGGAAATTTTGCAGCAATAGGCCACGTGTACCCATTTTTTTTATTTGCTTGAAATGTTTATTGGTAAATTTAGACCATAACTGATAACTTATACAAAGTAACCTATAACATAGAGTTACGGTCGTCAATCTTAAATATAATATAATATACCATAGAATTCATACATAAAGGGGTTTAATACAAATAGTTTTTCTCCACGAATAATAATTATCAGGTGGACTTCAGCATAATTATTAATAATTTAAAATTCGTGCAAGGGCCCTATTGCAGGAAAGTTTTTTCGACAGAATTTCCAAATTTTCTTCACCCTCACTCTTCGTAAGATATCCTTCATTTAAAATTATTTTTCCTAACAGTTGTGGTTTTATTCCATTGCCAAATTTAATTTGGATTAATTTTTTTTTTGCTGACAGGTTAATTTATACAGGGTGTTTGGTGATAACTTGTAACCTGCTTGCTTTTCGTTAATGCATCTGTCAAAATTTACAATATACAACATCAGGAAAACATACATGAACAAATAATAGAGATTAGATTAGTGATTAGTAATATAATTGCAGGTCATTTAGCATTATTTTTTTTTGGGAAATATGATACAATATATAAATATTTTATTAATATTTAATTTTGACTTAGTCATCTGTTAGGTTAATTCTGAATCCTAATTATTTTATTCTAGAGAATTTCATTAATGGCTCTTCAAAATTATCCATTTCATTTAGTACATCCTTGGCTTTGATATCTTCATAAATATTAGACTGGACACCTTGTATAATATTATAAATCTAGTGAGAATGTTTAAGGATTATGTCCCGCATTGATAAGAGGTTAAACAAACGATAACAAAAAAATACAAAATGTCTTTCTTGGCGCAAATGAAGTTTGTTGCTCGTAATGGAAGAAGCGAAATGAATGTTAATATGTTTTTTTTTCCCTCGGCAAAGAACAACCCGTTTTCTTTCCAGCGTCTGTCCCCCTGGTAAAATCACTTAAAATCACAAAGCGAAATGGTAATTTCGTCGGGTGCGAGAGGGTGGAGGGAACCCTCATCCCTCAAATTCAAAACCCTTATTTGCATGTTATCGTCGTTAGTCGTGGCCGCAATTTCACTTAAATATTGTGCCCACCACAGCTTTTTATATTATTCGGGGATGTTTCGTGGTTGGTGTCTGAAGAGGGGGGAGAAGTAGAGCGAGGGATGTTACTAAACGTTTTTATTTTCTTCGATTTGCCGTATCGGCAAAAGTTGTGATATCGGACATTTTTAAGTTTTAGATGGTCTCCTTGGAGGCCGTTTTAGTGTTAATTTTTGAAGTTTTTCGACCTTAAGAGGTCGCAATAATTGTCGTTGAAGTGGGATATGAACCACACTTGTATATGGAATTGACGAGAGCGTGGCCCGAAGGGCTCAAAAAAAATTGTGATATTAGGTACGTCGCGGAAAATGTTTATATGTTGGAATAGGTAAGAAGTGTTGTATGGTAACCTGTTTAATTAAAAAAATAATATATTCAACTGGGATTTTATTTGTCTTGCATGGCAACATAGAGTGGTCCGAATTATAATGGAGAAATAGAGAACAAAGTTCATATAAAAATGACCCCAGGGTGTGAAATATTGCAAAAGAAATGTTATTTTCAGAAAAATTCGTCTAGATCTTGCTTGCAAGATTAGTAGGAATTACTGCCAAAACAAATAAATAGCATAAACTTGTGTAAGCAGTAGCGTTAGAGATACTGTTTTAAATAATAAAAATTTTGTTAATAAATTTTGATACACCAATCAATTTCTAAACAAGAATTGTCTGCTGTTTTTTCTCTAAAATGAATCTTAAAAAAAATCCTTTCTCTACTTCCATTTCCTTCTATTTATATAGCAATTCCAGAAATAATAATAAATTAATAATAAGTAATTTTATTAATTTAATGATAATTATTATAATACCTACAAAGTTTGAAATCTAGAAAATATTTTTAAAAAATAGAAAAAGATGACCTCCGAAATAAAGCACGTTATTACATAACTTTATAGGAACGTTTTTACTTATTATCATCTGCTGAATACGCCATTAAATTTTCTCTATTATAATTCGGACCGCCCTGTATATGTAAAAGGAAAATTAACTGCAGTAAATGTGGCGAACAGGTAAGAGCAAGCTTCATTCTTAATCAATTTGACCAGGAAACATAGTCCAGTGCGTCTGTATAACTTTATACCATATCGAAAACTAGTTGCAAAAAATATATTAGTTGTATGTGAAATTTGTCAATATTTTTTTTCTTTTATTTAGTGACAATATCAGAATTTGTTATGAAAGGGACATGTTTGGAAAAAGGTTACATACATTAAAAACTTTGTCCGCTCAATTCGTCATCTGACGGCGACATTTTTGTCTTCCAAGCCATTAATGAAAAATTAATATTTTTCCTGATCAGTAGTAATTAGTTTTACGGCGAAATCCCAATTGAGCTGTTTTAGTCGTAATCTTAGAGCCTAAATACATTTTTTGAAAAAAATACTTATTTCTGACATTGCATAGTTTTCTAAACAGGGTCACTGTGTTTGAATTTTAAGAAATACAAATATTGTGTGCAAAAAGCAAAAAATAGGCGAGTTTCCTTAAAATGTCAGGTTGCATTATTCTTGTAAAATTTCTATTAAGAAAGCAGGAAAATTTTTACTGCCTATGAAGAAATCATAACAATGATTGATAGAAATGAGAAAAAAAAGCAAGATTATAACCTGCAAAATTTGTTTTTTTGCTACTCATGGTATTTTTATGACATTTCCATCTATAAAAAAAATAGGTTAAAACGAAACAAGCCTTTTGAATCTATTAAAATCACTGTTATCTATATCACATAATAGAATGCTTTCTAACGTTCCATTTCTATTTCCCGATTCCAAGATTTTTTTTGGCTTCCACAAAAATTTTTGAGAAACAACAATTTTAAAATTTCCGTGGGGACGTAAAATTTTTCCTTTTCTGTAGCTCTGATCTAAAGAAATATTTAAAACTTTCTAAAATATGTTAACTCACTAAAAGAAATCCAAATCCAGCATAATTAATAAATAGTAAATTACACGACTCTTTACCATTTATGTGTTTCGGACTCGTTAAATATTGTAAAACTTAAATTATTGCAACAAACTAAATCAACGTTCCGTGCAATGACGTTTCAAACTGTAAAGTCGGCTTTGATTATTCGAAGCAGGTTGGCACACGTGTCAAAAATTATACATCGTTGTCGCGGCTTGCTTCAATTCTGGTCACAAGAAAATTTTAATTTCAAGAGCAGACATCGACGCCGTCGAGGCAAGTATTATTAAAATTCCATTTTTAAAGGCACCATCGAAATGTGCCGAGTGCGACTCACGCGTAGCATGTTCCGAATTCCACTGAGATTTTTCTCGTCTCTGACGTCGAACATCGGAACGCAGGTATGCATGTATTCCACCCTGTTACCGTAAAAACTGACTTTACATATTTTTAATGGACATATATACGAACGAATGATTATTAATCAATAAGTGTATTCACTCGCTGGTATTTTTAAATAATTCACCTTTTAAAGTTTGAAGCTCTACTTCTAATGACGTTAAAATGAATACAACCTCCAGTTCTTTTTAAATTCGCATTAAAATTGTTGATTTGTGTTTCAGCTCTGCTTGCTTTAAATGCGAATTTCTAACATAGTTTTTGTTAGTAGTTTTATTTTATTATATTATATGAAGGTATTATGAAAAGTTTTTCAAAATTAAAATCTATCCACATAACAAATCCAAAAAATTCTTCGCCAACTATGAGTTTCTTAGATTTTTCGTAGATAATAGATTACATCGAAAATTCAACTGTAGCAAATACACTTTACGAAGTTTTCTTTAATGCAGTAACAAGACGACATTTAATAAGGTTAACTTGCCATTCTAATAAAGAGTAATGCAGCAAAGTGATATTGTGTGAAATAGTAAAGATTTCTAGCTACAAATAGCTTTCGGACACAACGGATACATACTGAAAAGATTATTTACAGCAGCAAAAGGCTTCAGTTTAGACCAGCGGTTCCCAGACCACCTTCAGAATAAAAAAAAAAACTTTATTTTTTAGTAAATGTATGTTCCGCAGGGCATTATCGTGCTCATTGCAGACTCCTCTTTTATGCCCTTTGCTGTGTATTTTGTATACTCTACCTTAATTGAAATTCATCCTAAAAAGTACACACCATTTAGAAGGAAAAATCATTCCTATAATTTTAGGAACGTAATCATTATCCCATTGCATATTACTTGAAGTCTTTTTAAGTTAAGCAGTTAAGCAATAGGAATACTTTGAGAGAGAGATAGAAAAAGAAATGAATAAACCGAATTTTATGTTAGTTTTTTGTTGTGCTTATTGTTGGTATTTTGATATTTTTTTATAATTGTCTGTGTATATGTATATGTGTTTGTATGACTTGACTTGCTTGGTGGTCAATTAAGAAGGACTCTCTGTGAAGAACTTACGACTAAAACAGCCAAGAGAAAAGGCTGGAAATTATTTTTAAATTTCTACAATGGCTGCCACGTAACCGCGTTCTTGAATATTCTTAAATCCCGTTTTATCAAAAACATTTACGTTAAATGATTTTTGATGTATCCCATAAGGGGAAGTTTTGGGGGTAAGCGAACATTTTCGGAAATAAATGTCAATAACATTTGAGTGGCTGTACGCATTTTGTCTGGGGGTTGTTGAAAAGAGCTCTTCTTAGGCCGCCGACGCTGCCGGGAAAGGATTTTTTCAATTGCTTGTACCGTAGGTAGAGCCGGTTTTTCGATATCACTACAAATAAAATTTATTTTCTTAAAAAAATAAAATGCAACGATATTACTTGTATTGCAACAAAAGATAGCGAAATAAAGGCCTAACAGGCTAGTGAAAACTGCCTTTCGATATCTATTTCCTAATCTACAATCGGTAAATAATAATTAAAACTCATTCCCATCTGATTGAAATATTACAACACATTACAACAATGAAATACAATAACCTAGATAAAACTTTAGAAACAGAGACGAACCAAATCAAACACTTTTACAGGTGGAATAGGCATTTTTTTTACAAATGGGGTGACCAAAATACAATATAAAAATTGATTGACACTTAAACAACACCATTACAATTTTTGTTATTTTGTTATCCAAAGCGCATTTGGCTTTTAAAAATTTTGAAGTTCGTGTTCTACGAAAAATTGGAATGGGGTATTATTTTGAGTTTTCATTTTTTTATTGGGATCTCTTTTATTACAATAAAAGTGATATCGTTTTACTTATTATTTTTTTAAAAATTATATTTTTTGCGGTGATGTTGCAAAACGCCCTCTAGTGGCGATACATGCAATCTAGAGCAATCTACCCAGGGAATCATTGATAGCCTGAAAAGAGGTCTATTCAACAAGTTACAATACATACAATGTTACAATACAATATGTTGCAATAATGAAAAACAATAACACAGATAAAACAATAAGATGAGATACTCCATTACACATATCCATATATAGATACTAGGGATATAGAGGCCTTGCCTATTACGAAGCAACTATAAAAAAAAAATCTAGAAAAAGTCCATTCAATATGATCATACGGGAGATGGCCGCTGACAGATGCTCAATAAGTTTGAATGCGGAATTTTTACTGCAGTATTTTCTCAAAATATGCTTAGATCTCGTTAAATTTTATGGGAAAACGAGTTAAATGAAACACAGTGCAGAAAGAAAATGGCACAAAGTGCAGATTAGTGGGTGAAAAGTAGAGGCATGAGCGGAGAAATCACTATATTATCCGATATGATTCTAACCGAAACACTCCAGTTTTCAATTGGTTAATAAACGCGAAACATATCAAACACTCTTACAGGTGGCAAGAACAGTTTTTTTACAAATAAGGCCACCAAAGTACAATATAAATAGCTACAATCTTACATCGCCATTACAATGTTACAATGTTACACATTTGGTATTCAAAAATTTCGAATTTCGTGTGAATAGCTGGGCAACATTCAATTATATTGGATGACTATTAATTATTATTTACATTTTAAATATAATGTTGGTAAATTGATATATACGAGGTGCATTCAAAAGGTTCGGTGACTAGTAATTGGGTGGGCGGCACGTTCCATCTTTTATATATATTTTTTTGATATGTGGGTGCACGTGTCCCTAACATATGTGCATAGTTTCAGCCAGTTTGCATGTTTACTTTTTTTTTGTGAGACAGAATTATTGGACGTGTTTTGTGTGCTCGATGATTTTCTGCTGACGAAAAAAAAATGCAACAAATAATTTACATAACATTTTTTGTAAGAAACGGGATACAGTGCTGCAAAGACTTGTTGATCTGGTTGATACGGTGAATCTACTTTGAGCAAAAAAAATGTTATAAGTGGTACAAGGTGTTCCAAGATGACTCCAGCACGTTAATAACTGATGAAAGCGCTGAAGAAATAAAACAAATGGTGTTGAGAAATTTTCAAATTACCATTAGAGAATTGGCTGAAGATGTCCGCATATCTGTCGCCCCGTGTCATGCATTTTTTTCCCGAAATTTTGGTTCCTTCAAGTGCTGTTAAACGACGTCAATGATGATCCTGATATGCTCGAAAAGGTCATAACTGGTGACGATTCATGGCTATATGGTTGTGGCGTCAAAACCAAAGCCCAGTCGTCCCAATGGAAGCATCGCCCGAAAAAAGTACGTTAAATTCGATCAAATGTCAAGGTTTTGTTTTGGTTACTGTTTTCCTTGATTATCGTTCTTAGTACCAGATCGTACGGTCAAGTTATGCGCTGTTTGCGAAAGGCAATACGAAGAAAATGTCCGGAATTGTGGGAAAACAATTCATGGATCACGATAATGCACCTGCTCTTTCATTGTTACTTGTGTCTAACTTTTTGGCCAAAAACAAAACCACAATCATGTACCATATTCGCCGGTAAACTGTGACTTTTTCCTGTTGAAAACTCAAGAAGCCCATGGCATGATTGGGGACACAAAAAAATCGCAGGAAGAACTCAAAGCTAAACCAGAAAGTGCTTATCAGAGGGGATTACTTTGAAGTTGGCAACATTAATTTGAATGAATAAATAAATACTTTTTGATTAAACTTAAAAGTCACCTTACTTTTTGAACACACCTCGTATTTCGTTGGTTGAGTGTTGTTATTATTGGGCTATGTTCTTACAAAAAAAAGTGATATCGATGTGTTCTATTTTTTTGGGAAAATTAATTTTATTTTTGGTGATGTCGCAAGCGCCATCTGGCGGTGATACCGTGGTACCGTTGATAAGGGCAATTTTCACCAATTCCAGGTTTGACACAATGCGTTCAGCCAATCTTAGGTTCTATTCTGAAAATGTTCAGACGGCCCCCCACCCCCCTCAATGTAAGATTATTTCCCAAAACACGGGATTTAAAATTGAAGAATGCGCTTGCGTCCCCTGGCGGTCATTCTAGCAACTTAGAACAATTTCCAGTTAATTTTTCAAAGAAACTTCACAGGCTACTGTAGTATTTTTGACAAAACTTCTGCAAACTTTGCTGAGTCGAACTTGCTGACGTTTCGCCAATCATCCTGTTGATTGGCAAGTTCGACTTAGCAAAAACCGACGCAGGAGGAATCTAGAAGAATTTGCAGAGAATTTGCAATTTCCAGTATTTTTTCTTGATCGCTTTAGTTATAATTTTTTACAGCCTAAGCCTTTAAGGCAATTACTTTTCGAGATAGAGATTCTATTCTATTATATATATACGAAAAAAGAGTTTCCGGCCGTTTTCGCGAGGGGGCAAATCAATCTAGGTGAAACCGGAACGCGTACTCCGCGCGCACACACAAACACACACACACACACGGGGCCGCACCGAGAGAAAAATATGATACAAAACGGCGGGATTTTAATTCTCCGGTTGATATGCGGGTGGTCGGCGCGTGCGCAGTGTCCCGCCGCGCGCTGGACGCTGTTGCATCTTCAGTGATCTTCCGGACGTTCGAGTGTGCGATCCGATACCCCGCAGAGTCGCGCGTCGCGACGTCGTCTCACCCCGTTCGCACGGTCGGCAACCGCACAGAAAAAAAAACAAAAAAATACGCAAGAGAAAAATTTTAGCTGTTCGGCGCGCGCGGCGGTTTTTTTTTGGATACTCTCTTCGGCGAATTTTTTTTTGAAGTTTAGGTGAGTGCCGCCCAGGTATGCTACCCCCCCCCCCCCTGCCCCGCCGATATTTTACGTTTTATTTACACATAACGTCGCGGCGACGACCGAAATTTGAAAGTTTCTGGTTGCTTTTTGTACTCAAATAAAAATACGCAACTTTTTGCGGCTTCTCTATTACTTTTTTATTTTTGCGATTTTATGCGATCGTCGTTAGAGAGGTAGAAGGAAATTTCCGCAGTTTATTTTGCTTGTGAAATAGGACTCGCAGTTCAGTGGCGTATATTTAATTTTTTTCCAGAGGAATTGCCTGAATTATGAAGGTTAATAAATCAATGCATAATAAACATGGGTCCGAAAATACCTCTTGTGAAATAGGATAAACAAAATTCGATACGAGGCTGTAGATCTAGAATCTAGAGGAACGGTACATTCATCCGGGCCTGTAAAAGGGACCCCAAAATATCTTTTTTATTCCTTAAATGAACTTTAGACCGGGCCATAAAAGTTGCTGCTCACAACATTTTTATATTTCCCACGGTACCGCCGCTAAAGGAGGGGTGCGATTTTTTTATCCCCCTAACTTTTTTCCGGAGATATTAAAATAATATTTTTTAAACAATTTGAACGCTTCCTGAACTACTTTCCGTTTACTATGCGATCTTTTCAACTTACTGCTAAGGAATGGAGTGGTATTTTGGGGCAGGAGCGCCAGACCATCTGATTTTTCTAGGAACTTGGAAATACATTTGAAACTGCAATTTCATTTATACATACTCCTAAGTATTGGAAGTTTATGGAAAAACTAGGCACTTGGAATAGAAATTTTTATTTTCGTTCTGAATTCGTATTTTCCAGCTCCTACTCTTTTTTGAGTGTTTGAGTCGTGGGTGTACCAGATTATTTCTGGTATTATTGGTCATTTTTCTAGTCTTTCTGTTTAGCATTTGAGCCCTGCAATGGTTAGCAGAGCAGCACTTAGTTGTTGTGTTTGTTGAAAAAGATAAACCAGCTTCATTAAATCACATCCCTTATTTTATGTTTTTTGGTAAATTACTTTATATCTACTAAATTACATTTCACTTAAATTAACAAGCCTGTTACAGATTCACTTCTCACTTTTATATACGAAAGCAAGAACGTTCACCAAATTTTTAACCTTCAAAAACAAGCCACTTCAAAATACAAAATTATACTTTCAACAGTGCTATTCATAACTAGCCAAATACTTCGCCCGCCTTTATTTTCATGATAAAATAATGACTTAATTCGATTTACTTGACGAACTTCATTTTAAAGTTTCTGTATGCTTTTCATATTCAAATAAAAATAAACACACCTTTTTTCGTCTCTTCTAGTGGTAGAGGTGTGCAAATAAAATTTCCGCAGTTCATTTTATTTGTGAGATAGGGCTTGGAGTTCAGTGGCGTATGTTCCTGGGAAACAGGTGTGTTCATTCGGCCCTGTAAAAGGGACCCCAAAATATCGGTTTTGTTTTATACCTTTAGGCCATAAGAATTACTGATCTCTGCCTTCAGGACCGTCGCTAAAGGGGAGATGCGACTTATTTTACCCCACGACTTTTTTACGGAGATATGTTTTATTTTTTGATCAAAATAATATTTTTTAATCAGTTTTCCAAAAAAGGCATTTTAGTTTAAAGTAAAAAAAATATTCGCGCTCACATGTAGCGGGGCAGCGTAGAGGCGACCGTCTCAAATTTAAAAACTCTACAAAATTTAATATGTTTCGTCTGCAGCAGGATTTTGAATGCTCCCTGGTCTGCTTTCCGTTGACTATGCAATCTTCAACTCACTACTAAGGAATGCAGTGATATTTTGGGGATTTTCTAGGAATTTAAAAATACATTTGGAACTGCCATTTCATCTATACATACTCAAGAGTATTGGAAGTTTATGGAAAAACTGGGCATTTGGAATAGAAATTTTTATATTCGCTCTGGGTTCATGCTTCTATTCGTTTTTTGTGTTTGAGCCGTGGATATGCCAGACAATTTCTGGCCTTAATGGTGGGTATTTTCAGTCTTCCTGCAATATTTAGCAAAGCAGTACTTAGTCCTGTCCTGTCCCGTCCATTATTCGCCTGCCTTTATCTCTCTATAGAGCTGGTAATGTATTTAAAGATTCAACATGTTTTACCTGAAATAATAAAATAATTACTTCAATTTATTTATTCAAATTAAGTGTGGCTTATAGTGCAGACTGGCTATTTTGTTTGACTGATTCGTTAGATACATTGTTTTGGTTTCTTTAACACGTAAATAACCCGTTTTCGACGTTGAAAATTAATATGTACACTACTAGCGACCAAAGCGATATATTGTTAGAGTTAGCGGAATGTGATGGATATGTTATAATAGCCAACAAAAATATGCGGAATAATTTCCAATACAAGTGTTTCGAATGAAACAACATTTTTGAATTTAGAGGCGATACCGTGATAATGGAACCTTTAAATCAAAAAGGATACATTCTGGAAGACCATTTCGCAAGCGGGCGTTTTGGAGTACATGTAATGAAATTTTTTCCATATATTTTCAATATTCTTTTTACTCTAGAAAATAGCGCCGCGTTCTTTAAAACACTCTGTATTTGGATTTAATTTGCAAAATAAATTAGTAATTAGTCAAGAGAAAATAATCAAATAAAATTACGGTCATTAGAATCTCTTATTGTAAATAATTGGAAATCAACGCCAATGTATAAAAACACCAAAATGGAACTCCAATTTTTGAAAATTTTTATTGAGTTTCCGATTTTATGTTATATAATACACCCCTGTAAGTTTTATAGAGATGAAATACTTTCTCCGGAATTTGCGTTTTCATCACGTCCCGGATGGATGATTTAAATTTGGGAATATAAATTTTTCGAATTCCTCGGTATTTTTAGCGAAATGTGCTTTATTTATTTTTAATGAGGTGGGAACAATTTTACATCTACCGTTTTCGAGAGTCACATCGTATGAGGGATAATATAATTCAAAAAAATAAGCACTCACCATTCAGAAAATGCAATCGTATATGAAGTACAAAGAAGACATTTTTGTTGTTAGATATCAGAAAAATAAAAATGTAACCGTGGCAGTTTTAAAATTTAAGTACATATTGGTAAACCACACTAGTTCCGTAAATAATGAAAACATTTTTTTTTTGCAATTGTTATTATTATTAGTTAGGTGTAACTGTGTCACGATTATTGGAGTCAAAGAGCGCTCTACATTTGATAAGATTTTTGCGATCAAAATTGAGGATCTAGCGAAATGCTATCTCCACGGGAATGCAGTAAATGGTAGTAAACATCTTTTTAGAATTAAAGTCTAAAATTTTTTAACAACAAACAGTTTCACTCAAGTTATAATTAATCAGGACTTGTAGAAAAAAATACCACAATCAGTAATGTCGGCAAAGTAACAATTTGGGTTGATAGAAGGATCAAAAGAATTTCTCAAATAGATCCGTGGTTGTCAGGACCAAGGATATCTGCTCAAATTTTCATATTCCTGAATTGCAAGTTAGGACGACGATTGTTGTTGAGACGAAAATGAGGCGCGTAGGACGTCCCAATAAAGCCAAAGCAAGGAAGAGTAAAGTAGACTGGATGCATTATACTTTATGACTATGGATAGACTGATATACATGTATTCTAAAATGTTATGTTGCCATATGCTGAGCGGGAGATGCCACTACGATTTTTGTGCTTCAGCAGGACAATGATCCGAAACATTCATATCGTCTTGTTTGGGTTGCACAGGTTCTTCAATGGCCACCGAACCTTAATACCATTGCGAAATTTTGGGATGGGGTAGAACGTCAAATTCAGATTACAATATTCTCAAACTAAAGATTTTTCAATAGGTATGTTTGGGTTGCATAGGTCCTTTAATGGCCGTCGAACCTTAATACCATTGCGGAGTTTTGGGATGGGGTAGAACGTCAAATTCAGATTACAATATTCTCAAACTAAAGATTTTTCAATAGGTATGTTTGATATTTTGTTTTAATTGAAAGCGATAGGTTTTGTTCTTAAAAGACAATAAACAAGAATTGAGCGGAAAATATTCATATTTACGTCCGCTGTAAACATTTAAAAATCAAATATCGGCGCGATGTTAGAAAACGAAACCTTTGGAGAATATATCTACGTTGTTCTCCTAGAACTTATCTCATTGAAAACATCATATAGTTCCCATCACGAATCAAGCCAATCAAGATAACAGCTTTCATGATTGTCACGACCCGGCATGTTTTATTATCGTAAACTTCTTATGAACTAAAATAAAGCAGAATAAAATTTTACCCATTAGTGCTAAACAAAAAAAAAAGAATTCGATATGATATATGATTGATATGTATTTATTATCTATTTACCTTCTTGTTGTTCTTTTTCGGCATTTTCCTTTACGAGTTCCCAGTTTTTATCCTTCACAGTTCTCCTATATTCCAGTCCCCTACTCTCAGATCTCCATAAATCATCGCATGTCCAATGTATGTCTCCCATCTTAGTGCCGGCCGTCCTCTTCATCTTCTCCCTGGAGGTTCCCATTCCAGTACTCGTTTTGGCTACCTGTGTTCTGACATTCTTTGTACGTGACCATACCATTGTAATGCTCTGTTTTCTAATTTCCTTGTTATCGAGCATTCTATTCCAATTGCCAAATTTCTGCAGTTCTTATTTTGTCAGCTCTTGTGGCTTGTGGACATCTTCTCTTAAAGTTTAATTCGAACGTTCTTATTTGGCTTCTTATCGTTGTTGTCTTACCGAACTATTTTAACGCCAGTGGTCTGAAGGTCGTTTAAATTTGTGTTATTTGCCAAAAACACGTACACATTTCCGAACTCGATCGATGTTCAAATGCCTGATTTAAATACCTTCGTACAGCCAATGTAAAATGGGGCGGAGCACCATATTGCATTAACCACATGCTTTGTCGCCACTGCAAGGGTACCTCATCCAGCCAAGCAAATACATTTCCCTATTAAGCTATCCCTTAAAGAAATG